CAATTACGACGTGCGGCCGGACACGTTAAAACGACCATAAACCGAAGAACACGAACGAACCGAGCAGCGAGAAGTTGCCCGAATCGGCGAAAAGGAAGTCCGAGCGGTGAATGGATCAACATCGGCTCCGATCGATCGGAGGCATTCTAAAAGTAGTCTCTCCTAACTCGCCGAGCGCACGGTATCAGATTCAACGAACAATATTTTATAAAGCGCATTTTAAACGGTTCGTTCCCTTGGCATGAATTCCATTAAAGCGTTGTAAACAAACAGATGTTTCCTGTTACGTCCGTTGCTCGCGCAGATCGGACCTAGACGGGCCGCATCTTCTGACAATAACGCAACTACTCGAACGTTAACAATAAACAAGAATTCTTAACCCTTTGCACTCAGTTTTTTGGAAATAACACTTCTTGATAAAATCTACGCTTGTTGCGACTAATGTAAACGATTGGATAAATTAAGGGACAAACGTAGTTTACTTTGATATCTCACATAATGATACTTTAGTATTGAACATCAAACATCAATCATTTTACTGTATCAAAGTGGCGACTGAGTCGTCACCGAGTGCAGAGTTAAATATTCCTCAAACGAACCAAATGTAACAAACATGTTTTGCATCCTGGTCTGCCTCATCTCGGTCCCTCGCGATTTTCCCATTTGATTGCTGAATCAAAGCGAGGAGCACGTTGAACGCGTTAATTTCGGCGTAGCCAGACTCCGTCTTGGTGAGCAACCGACGTAACAAAAGGCAGCTTGGACCGAGAAGAGGGAAACAGGAGAGAGACAGACAGACAGAGAGAGAGAGAGACAGAGAGACAGAGACAGAGAGAGACGCAGTAAAGTGTGTGCGAACGGTGTGGGTCACTCACAGTGGAAACCGTGCGAGAATCATCGTTTCCAAGGGCGTCGAGATAGCGTCGGGATGGAAATCCTCTTTAACGTCGGTGACGTCGAGGAACGCCGTAGGTAGCCACCGGCCTGGCCTAAGCGTAGCTCGGCCTGCCCGGTTTCGGTGAACACGTGCCGCGATCACACATGCACGCACGCAAGAAGACGCACGCACGCAGGCACGCAAGCACGCCACGCACACGAGAAAATCCCTCGTGGGAAACCGCGTTTTCTCGTCGAATTTTCTTCCAGCTTTTTCCGCGTTGTCGCTCGGCCGCGCGTGTTACAGCCGACTCCGATGACTGTCGACTAATAATAGACGGGCACGGCCACGAGCGAGCTAGCGAGCGGACGAGCGAGCAAGCGAAACGAACGCGAATATACAGCCCCACGATACCAGCTTACATACGTATTAATGTGCGCTGCATCGTTGCTAACAGTGGACTCAAAATATCCGACGGTAGTCATCCTCGGCTGTCGCCGAAACACGCGGCCCGCTCGGGGCGGAACCGAAAATTGTACGACGGGCACGGTGTCTCGCGTCTCTCCCTCCGTTTTCTCAACGAGGATGCCGGCGTTCGACCGCTTTCGCGGCTTTTCGAGCGGCCCTCGCGGAGACCGACCGGTTCACCCTTTGCACTCGGAAATTCTTTCGCTAGATATATTCATTTTATAATGGACTATCAATGGTGTAACTCGTAACTAAGATTGATGTAATGAAAATTGTCTAGATACATTCTTCATTTTCTGATGAAGTATCAATGGTGTAACTTGTGGCTGAGGTTGATATAAATAAAAGTTGTCTAGATACATTCTTCATTTTCTAATGAAGTATCAATAGTGTGTCTTGTAACTAAGATTGATGTAATAAAAGTTGTCTAGATACGTTCATCATTTTCTAATGAAGTACCAATAGTGTAACTTGTAATTAAGATTGATATAAACATAGATATATTCATTTTCTAATGTAGTATCAATAGTGTGTCTTGTAATTAAGATTGATATAAATAAAAATTGTCTAGATACATTCTTCATTTTCTAATGAAGTATCAATGGTGTGTCTTGTACCTAATATTAATATAAATAAAAATTGTCTCGCTATATATATTCTTCAGCTTTGTTCCTCAATGTACCTATGATTCCCCTAAGTTAGTTTCAAAGAATATCCTTTCTATCTTGTCAAAAAATATTAAATATTTCTAATGACAAACTTCCGAGTACAAAGGGTTAATTTCATTCAACCCCATCTTACAAATTACAACTGTTTCCAAGTAATTTAAAATCTCCAGTCATCGACGACCAGCGTGGCAGTCAACGTGTTAAATGTTTAGGAGCACTCTCAAAAATCTCGGCTGAGTGCAAATACCAACCAAATATAACATTCCATGGCAATGGACGCCAGAGCTATTCAAACCGATGAAAATAGCATTAATAGTACTATGCCTACATGTGACAAAAACCAGCGAATATATTCCTCCACGAATACAAGCAAAAATGATATGCAATTTTCAATGCTCCTGATTATTAATCATTTTTGCATCCACCTAATCGAATCGTTCATACATAATCGCCCTGTACACGATTTTCCTCTTCCTTACCGTTTACTAATTATCTGTAACACAATAAAATCAGCTCAGTTATTATCCCAAATTTTTTCACTGAAGCCTGGCCTAATAACGGTACCGTAAAAAATCCGCGACCAGTTTTGGCTCCGTTTCCGCTTCCGTTTGGGCCCTAAATATCTATGACTAACGCAGTATCCGACGAGCATATGCGCAGCGCTAGGTAAACGGTCATCCGTCCTTCGCCGCGCATTACCCACGCTTTTTCGTTACATTCTAACTCGGTTAATTAGCTTACCTTCGTGGTTTCTCCGTTCGCGTGGGAAAGACGCGCGACACGCACCATCTTGGACCGTCGATTATCCGTTCGATTATCCTCCCGTCGAACAGCCCGACGAACCACTGCACCAATCGCGCCACCTCAATTACACTGCGCGCTCTAATAAATACACAGATCGTTATTACCATTTGAATCGCCGCGCGATTCCCCGTAGAATTCACGCCGGAACGCGATCGCTCGAGAAAAAAAACGCGCAAAATCGTATTCCGATTGCGTTACGATCATCTAATCCGAAATCACTTTCACTTTTCCAATATGGTTTCGCGGGTGAACGATCGACGGTTGACAGGGTTAATCGATACGATCGATTCAACAATTTTTACTAACCTCTATTGCGCATGGCAGTGGACGATTCCCCTCGCAGTTGCTTCGGATTTCAACAGTGCTCGAGACTTTCGGAAAATTCGTTGAAAGTCTTCGAGAAAATCGTTCGTTCGCTTGGAATTTCGTTTGACCGGCGCCGAAGACCGGAAGTGAGCCGCGGTACTGACGTCGTCCTCGATACTGGCACTTGGTCAACCGATTCGAGACAACCGCGTACCTATATTCAAATTATCACGATGAATCACCGCGCAGTTTGTTGATGATCGTACCCACACCCAAGTAGACTTAATATTCATCTACGCGTCAACCACTCAACAATCCAGTGTATCTAAGAACTGAACATATACGGCGGAATCCGAGGAAAGCCGTAGAACCACTGTTTAAACTGCAACTGAACTTTCCATCGAATCGAATCCGTTCGAATAATCAATTCCTTCGATTTTATTTACCGTTTAAATATTCGAATTCTCAATACACTCGCACTATACGAAGCTGCCTAAATTACGCGACCTAGACCTCGTCTATTACCGGGCCAAAGATAGGCAACGAACCTAATGCAAATATTCAGTCCTGTTAATTACAGCTCTAAAATTTAGGCGCTATTCTTTTCAACTCGCTACCCTAACCCAAGCTCGATGAAGACACGGTGATCGACTCGAGTCGCTTATATCTTCACACTCGAGATTTACACCGGTCGAAATCCAAATTCCTCGGATATTTATATTAATCAAAATTAATGTACCTATCGTCAATTTTACCCGAGATACAATGGACCGTGATCGACTCGAGTCGCTTACAACTTCACACTCCCTAAATTTACACCGGTCGAAATCCAAATTCATCGTATATTTATATCAATGAAAATTAACGTCCACCGATCGTCAACTTTACCTGAGATACAACGGAATCGTCCGGGAATGGAATTTCCGTTCGAGAGTGATTCAAACTGGATGCACACTGAGAAAAGGCTAGAGCCTGCGAACGCTTCTAACGGTCAAAATCCCGGTCACTTCGATTATCGAGGCGATCAACATTGCATCGAGAACACTTCGCGGCGACTTCGGTCGATCTTCGAGAACAACGTCGATGCGGTTACTCGATGGATTAACGTCGCGATTCGCACACTATCATGATCTAAATGACTGTCCATGCGCCGCGCGGTTACAGTCATTCGCGAGCGGAAGGATGCACGGTGTTGCAAAAGTTTGCCATCAACTCGCGAGCATAGAGAACCCGCTGAAGCGGCGATGATCGAGTTGGATCATCAGCGATCCGTTTAACCGGCCGTGAATCCTCGAACACGCTGAATAGCCTCCACGCGAATGACGTTGTTTCTCCATTCTCGTTGCATGCACGTGCCTCGAGCGTGTCATTAGTGCGAAACGCGGCATGCCTGCTAAATGACCTCTGCATCTGATGAGAGCTGTTGCATCGGAATCAACGCTTATCTTGCTACCGTGTTGCTGTTGTTGACGCACAAACTGAATGGTAATGCAGACGCTGGAAGCGAGGTCTTCCCCAATGCAGCTCTGACTTGCCGACGGTGTTGAGAATCGAGGTATTGCACTCGAGTTTTCCACTGGAAGTATTCAACGTTTTCTAAGGAGATATAGGTGACATTGTTTGAAACTAATTAGGATAATTCATAGATAAATTTAGTGACAAAGCTATTTTGTTTAACGTTGAATGCCCACAATTTCATAGTACAAAGTACTCGAAATGGAAAAATATAATTAAATCGTTTGATTGAATTGCATTGTTATCATTGCAGGTCTAGCTGAATGTCATTGCATTAGCTAGCATTATTTATAATATAGAAATGTTTTCAAATAATATGGTTTAATTGAGTGAACTACAGTAATTCGTTGGGGGTCACCGGTGACCCATGGCATTCAACGTATTAAATACTTTAAGTAGTAATGCAAAGTTTTATTTAAAACATTAAATATTCAACTTTATAGTTTTGTGGTTAAATCGAGTGACTGAGACTCACCTCTCGAGTGCAAAGGGTTAATTTAGATAAGTTGTGTCCTGTATTGTGGTTAGATGGCGCTGTTGGATTGCTTGTGTTTCTTTATTCGATATATTATTTATTTACAATGTTGAATGAATTGTAATTTTGAAATATTTTGTCGGCTAACTTGTATGATGTTTCTAACTAATTTGCAGAAAGAATATCTGGATATTAACAAAATTTGAAATATGTAGTTAAACGGTTTCTAATTACAGAATTTGACTTTATCTAGAGGTAGGAACCGACATTACTGACACGTTGGCTCCACCCAAGTATCATTGTTTTATATTAATTATTATAGTAATCAATGTTACTGTTAGTATTATTTATTATAATTTAAAGCTTGGGTTAATGTAATCCTGAAAATCATGAGCATCCTCGTGGAGCCATCAAATATTCATTTATTTATGGTAACAACTATGTACACACATATCATACACACATATACGCGTATTTACTTGTACGTAAATGCAGAAAGTGGTCCATACTCGAGTAAGTTTGGATAAAGAATCGTGTCTCGCGGGGAAAAATTCTCTGCCCTCGAATAGGAGCAGCTCTGAAACGAAATCTGACTCAAACTATTCGCCGTCGAATGAATTCGACGAGTAAAATCTCCTCGCGTGCTATATTATCGATTTCTATCTAACAAATGTACTTAAGCCTCGCCTAACGGCGCCAGAATCCGAACAAACCGATTGAAAATTCAAGTGATCGACGTACAGGTGTTTCTATTTAGTATCCTCTGACAATTTCTTCTATTAGGCCACACGGGTGTTCACGTTTCTATGAATTTATTTGAATCCTAGATGCCCGTCTTGGCACGACATTGATTTTCGTGAGTTCAAGGACAAAAATCTACTCGTATCTCTCGCGGATAAACATTTAACAATCCAACGCCTCCAAAATTGTTTCCTTTTTTATCACTGTCGTGTTTCACTTTTGTACTTGCTGTAATTTGTAAAATGAAAAGCATCAATTGGAAATATATCTGTGATCGCAATATTCCTCTTTTCATGTGTAAACGAAAAACAGCATTAGCACCAATGTTTCAATTTGGCCTGCCTCTTAAAATATACATATGCATGTACATACATACATACACACATACATACATACATACATACATACATACATACATACATATACATATATGTATTTATATATACGTTTACAATGTCCTCGGATAAATAGCTAAAAATACAGCTCTCCACGAAGTGTATAACGCGGATACGGTGTTAAAATTACGGTTTCCATAAAAAATAATTTGTCGATACGAGTTGTATACCTCTGTAAAACTTACGACTTTCATCTAAAGACCCTTACTCCTATTCTTTCATTGCGTTCGCTAGATATGATACAAAGTGTGCCTCGTTATTGCTCAAACGTAATTGATCACATGGAAACACAAAGCTCGCCGCAGTCTGTTCCATTCCGGCTGTTACCGTCATCTCGAAATTCAATGTTCACCGAGCAACTGATCAAATACCTTTGAGCGCTGTAGTGAGTATTTCTCGTGACAGTTATACACAATTCACCCTGAAACTTTAAGAAAATAAAATAGTTCCCTCTCGATGATGTACACTGTACTGAACGACAATGCTTCTGTGGTAATCCTTTCTCTCGGATGAACAGCTAATGACTCTTCTGTTTTCAGACGAGACACTTCGGTGGAACTGTGTATCTCCACTCGACAACGGTGCAAGTTGGATATGTTGCGGTAAGAATGGAAAGGAGGATCGGCACTCTTAACGTTTAAAGTCCAGAATCGGGGCGACAATGGAAACCTTTAAATCCCACATCATGCTCGACTCGAAATCTTGAAGAATGTTCTCTTTGGTTTCCTTCGCTTGGAAAAATAGTTGAAAGGAGGTAATGATTTAGTTCAATACTGATCGTTTCCGGCCGTTGCGCAGCTGCTGACACTGTGGGCGGAAATAGGAGTAAAAGTATCCAAAAGAGCTCTCTCTCTTGAGAACCCGGAGGTAACGCGTCACTGATTCCCCGAATGAAAGCTCAGCTATCAGAGTTTCGGTATCAAAAGGTGGGTATACTTTCGTTGAAGACGGCTAGTCGTCGAAATCATACGTTTGGTAGGGTTTCCAACCGAGGTGTTGAATAGATCTGAAAACGATACAATAATAATACCAATAACATCTTCATCCTATCAAATAAGAATCGATGATCTTACTTTTTCGCAGCCTGTATGAATCCTCGTGGACCACAAGTGAAGATGCACGCTTCAGGATTCTGTTCTCCTATCAGCTGCTTCAGTAAGTCATCAGACACGGTTCCACGTAAGCCCGTCCATGTACTGTCCGCTTGTGAAAGGATGTTCGTGACCTTCAACCTAAAAAGGGTACCAATCGAATGAGATTACATTAAGTAAACTTAACATCATTTCATGTACTCACCTTTTATCACTGCTGGCCTTTTCCAGTTGCACCACGTAGAACATGTTATCCACATCTTTGTTGAAGTTGAGGAGGTTTATCCTTTTCCTGAAAGAATGCAGGAGTTTTCCTCAAAGTTCAAGAGAAATGTAAGCTAAAGGATCAAATTGGTCTGGCACAATTAGCAAGTAATGATTCGAGTAAAGGTACTGACACGGTCCGCCTGGCCATGGCTCGCTGAATTATCCCAAGCATCACGGTGAGCCCCGTGCCACCAGCCAGCATGTGAATAATGGAATAACGATCAAAGGATTCAACTACGAAGGCACCTAAAGCATTGCTTAGCACGAGGGTCTGGCCGAGTTGTAGGCCAGTTATGGACGGACTCAGCGCGCCATTCTGGTACTTCTTGATCATCAGACATACACAGTCGGACTTGTAGTTCGGCGCCATGTCGTCAGGGTGAAGGCACGGTGGGACAGGGGTGTACGATCGCGACGCTTCCACCCCTGAAACGGAACAAGGAATCTACGTAAAATAAAATCGAATACTTCAATTTTTCCAGAAGACTTTGCCTAACCACTGAAGCGGTTTACACGTGGCTAAAGTATCAGCAGCATGTGGCACTGTACAGGAAGGATAAATTGCTTACCCATCACTTTCATCCTGGCCTCTAAGTGTCTGCCAATGGGTACCAACTCTAACGAGTCCTTCGCTCGCAGGACCAGCAAATGAACTAACTTAGAAAGCGGCGTGTTCGTAACTACTTCATATTCTTTATATGATCGACTATTGGTGTTCGGCTCCCGCCATATCGTATGGCTACCCTGTGTTTTCCACATCTCCTTCGTCTTCTTGGTGAAGGTGAGGTCGACCTATAATACAAAGTACATTTGAACTTAAGATTCAATTGTTAATATTATATTAATGTATTTGTTGTTATATCAGTATACATTAATATTATATTAAGTTATTATATTAGTATGCATTAATATACATTAATATTATATTAATGTATAGTTATTATATTAGTATATAATTATAACCAAATCAGATTACTATATTTCATTCAATTAAACGCTGATTACTTGAAAACACTTGTATATTAAAAATAATGCTACCTAATGCCAGTCAGCTCAACATGCAATAATAATTCAATTCAAACAAATGATTTAACATTATCTTTCCATTTTGTATATTTTACTCTATGAAATAGTGTAGCATTCAACGTGTTAAATTATTATGTAACAATACAGAAGCTCCTCCGGTTCACCTCCATGGTATCGAAGTTCCTCTTACAAACTGGCGGCCACTCCACTCCTGCAGCCAATTCCAGTTCATGCGTGATCACGTCCTTCTCGAAGAACAGCTTGAAGACAAGCTTCGAGTCACTTATCCTCCTTAGTTGATAGTAAATACTCGGATAGTCCTTCACCGATTGGTAGAACAGCGTAATCGAGTCGGACGTCTGTCTCCAGTCCATTTTCACGTTCAACGGACTCGAATCTCGTGGGGTTTCCTCCTGACTGTTGCTGCGTGCTGATTATATAATAAATTACCAGATTTAAAATCGTAGGTTTCTTGTTCGTATATGAGCTATTCATTTTAAAAATAGCTTAAGTCCAATTTTCAATAAAATCAAGTTAATCGTTATAATGGTTACAATTCTGAATAATCGTTTCATTTGATGGTTTTTTAGTAAACTTTTTAGTCTTTACTTTAATGGTTCATATGTAATTTTAATATCAATTCCTCTATTGTCGGATTACTCAATTTTTCAATTCTTTCCTTTGCTTTTCTCCGTTTTCACTACAAAACATTTATCATCTAACTTGTTCATCTTTATTTTACAGGTATTTGTAAGTGTACGGTTAGTGTTAAGGACAATGATGAATTAAATTACTAACTCGTACAACTTTTGATCAGGTCCAGAGCAGCGGACGCGCAGTCCGTGGTACTCGGGGAAGTGTTTTCCGGCGGAGGAGACGATGGACCGCTGATGGAACCACGGCTCAACCTTCCCACCACGCATTTCTGAAGGATGCTCTGATAATTGACCCACGCGTGAACCTGCAACGAACGATCTATGGGTACGTGAAAATAATCATTTCCAGGGAACGTTCGAGCTCTTTCGAGGAAGCGGCCAGAGCGAGTTCATTCTCCGAAACAATGCGACTCGAAACTTTTTCTCCCATTTCTCAACTGCCAAACGATCTTCTCCCCATAACAAAAGCGGCGATTACTATATAAATGCATTCTACTGAGAAAATAGAACACTACTAAAATAATTTACCAAATGTCTGGACAAATTGTAATGTAGTAGAGATATTTAAAAAAATGTCTCAACTGTTTCAAGTTAAGATTTACACTGTTCTGTGTATAATTGTTTTCTTGTTTTAGGATGATAAGGAGAAACTTGTTTCGTGTAATTTTGTATTGATTGCTATTATTCCTATTTAATTGCTACTCTGCAAACGTGATCAATTATGTTCCGGAATTGGATGTAATCGCTGTTGGGAAAATGGTCTTGAACGGCCAATCAAGTTTGATTCAATTAGAACGATTTGAACTTCAGCATCGAGCGCCTCATTCGAAAGAGCTCTGCCAATTGATCGTGTGGCGATCTGAACCACTTGGACTCACGTTTTCGAATAGTTTCGTCGCATCTTTGCCCACGCCGCGCATCAATTCGCTGATCCCTCCTGGATGGAAGTCCATGTAACGCGTCACGTTGAAGACGATTCCTACGTTTCGAATATTCCATTGAGTTATTATTCAGTTGGAAACAGTAGACACACTGATAAGGAGTCCAATATTTTCCTAAGAAGGTTTCAATGCTTCAAACATTTTCTCAATATTCTGAACATCGAATATTTTCATTGCGACGCTCAAAATATTCGACGTTCAGATACTTCAGACATTTTCCAATATTCAAAATGTCCAATATTTTTATGGAAACGCTGGAAATATGCAACGTCCATTTCAAACATTTTTCAGTATTCGAAATATCCAATATTTCCCAAGTTCTGCCAATATTTAAACAATCTAATATTCTTACTGCAACCCTTGAAATATTCGGCGTTTAAATATTCCCAAATTTTTCCAGTATTTAAATATCCAATGTTATTGTAATGCTTAAAAAATGCAACGTTCAAACATTTCAAACATTCTCCAGTATTCAAAATATCCAACATTTCCAAAAATTTTCCAATACTTAATCAATCTAATATTCTTTCAAAAGATCCAATATTATCACTGCAATGCTTAAAAAATGCAACATTCGCACACTTCAAACAACAAGACTGTAATCGAGTCGCGATAAAACTCAAGTCGGAATATCTTTCTTTTAATAGAATTAACAAAGTGGCAACTCATATTATTTCGAGTACCAATTTCTTCACGATTACCCATTTCACGGGAAATTTACCTGCGTTTACGGACATTGTCCTGTTACTATCGCGAGTCCACGCGTCAAGCAGATCGTTAACTCGCGATCGATGAATTGTGATCAATGTTTAATAACCGCGATTAGATACTGTGCATTGTTTCTGTGAATTGCGAACGATGGTACGCACGAAACATGTTGTTCCTCGAAACGATCGGTCACTAGCGACGTGCAGTCGATATTCGGTAAACCAGGTGAAATCACGATTGAAAATATAATAAAGCGAACGTAGACGAGAGAGGAAGTTGACGTTGGTGGTCACGAGCGATTACAAAATCGAGGACAACATCGACGTGATACATAATTGAAATTAAAATAGCCGATCGAAACCGGCCGGGACGAGGGCGGAATAAATATTGAATTACCGGGTTTCATGCAAAAATTTCGACATGATTTACGGAACGAGCCAATTTGACTCATATTGAATTTTAATATTGTCTGTTGTTATCTCTATTAATTAAAAATATTCTGTTGCAGTCTAGAAATAGAGTTTCGGCTAACAAAATGTCTTCTATCTTAAGATAATTACAAGCATTGCCTTGTAAAAGAAAAACTTTTTACTTAATTTTGATTTAACCGACGAATAGTTTCTATTTTAATTGTTGCAGGCAAACGTCGAAATGTATGCATGAACCGAATATAATGTCCCCAGTGGAAATTTCAATCAAACTAAAAGCGAGCAGTCCTCCGTGACCCGGATACCCTTTTCTTATGAAATATGAAGACAAGTTTCTATTACCGGCCACTGCGCTCTATCGATTACACCGAAACGTTTCGTATCCAGCGGGAAAGAAAATTAGCTCGATTCCTATAACGAGAAAGAGACTAGCTTCAATTAAATTTAATCCGAGCGTCGAGTTAATCGGGATCGAGCGGATCCTCTTATTTTATTCGCTCGACGGACCCCCGGGATTTTCGAGCAATCCACGTTATGGCCTCTCCTCGAGCTCCATTCCGAGGTATTTAACGAACAGATTGCATTTGCATAAGAACAAAAGGGGACGAGGCTCTCTCTTCTCGTTTAACGTGATCTTTCTTTTTTATTTTCAGATGAAAATGTTGGGAATATTATCTTCTTTGTCGTCTACGTCCTTTTCTCTGGGGATTATACGGATTCGACGCTAGGTCCACCGAGTATTGGGTTGGTAAATGCCTTTTATTTTAATAGAACCTATGAAGGGGAACTATTTCTATCGACTCGTATTTCAATTTACTAAATCTATTTACTGTATCCATTTTTACTAAATCTGTTTACTATATCCACTTTTACTAAATCTGTTTACTATATCCATTTTTACTAAATCTATTTTCTATATACATTTTCACTAAATCTATTTTCTATATCCATTTTTACTAAATCTATTTACTATATCCATTTCTACTAAATCTATTGTACTAAATCTTATTCAATTTTCCAGGAAAGCAGCTGTGTCTTGTCAATAACTACAAAAGAAGAAGTCGCAAACAAGTAACTTGATGCATTTCATAGTTCTAATGTTAGGGTATAAGTGTGAAAGAAATCATAGGTGAAAAGTTAACTCATTGAATGCCAAATGTCAATCCCTTCAGGTCTGACGCACATTACAATATACAGGGTGTTACTTTCAGTATCTGAAAGTTTATTCTGTTATCTCTTCTTTTGTTGTTTAGTGAGTCTTAAAGTGGGATTATTTACAATCAAATACGGTTCTCGTTTTCACAAAACACAGTTTCTAACCGTATTGATTGAATGAGTTCAATTGTTAGTTAGTTCTTTTTAGGCGATCGCCAAAGTGTTAAGCTGTCTATACCTCTAATCGCGATCCAAGCGTCATTCTCCTTGTTGTGATTGGCCAGCTCGGACAGCGATACGACACGCGGTACGCCACCGACCCCGGTCAAATCCACCCCCGAATTAGTCAATCGGATCCAGTCCATTAGACTGTGGCCGGGCGCTAGGGCCGTCTTGTTCCGGGGGTTCCCTGCGAACAATCGGAATAATACGTTCGGCAACGATCACAGTTTTCTTTGACGAACACCGTCATCGACATGATTCGTGAACGGAACATTCACTTTCTCAAAAAACAAGCATTGAACGTGTGCTAACAATGTCAACCGGTGCTACATTCACAAATGTAAATTAACCCTTTGCACTCGACAATATTTCTCATTGTCATAAAGTAAAATAAATCTACTCAAGAAAAATTGAGAAACTCGATGTTTTTGCATGAGTGATTATTTATTTAAGTTTGCTCAGTGCGTGGCTAAATTATAAGGCTTTTAAAGGTACGTAAAAACGTGATTGCACTTGTAAATTGCACGTACGAACAGAACCATCATCATGGATTAATGAAACGCTATTAACAGTCCAGATGATCATGCAAGCGATGAATTTAACAGGTTCACGCCGGCGCGTACCATCTGTGGCTCACATCTCGATGACACAATAGACTTCGTGACCCAAATATATAATCTGTTAAACTAACAAATTTAATGAATAGAAAGCATTGTCATATATTAGATCGTCCCATAAATCAGTGTCTTTTATTTTTCTACCATATAAAATAACATTTTACTCAATATAAAATTCGTATAGAAAGACCTGTCATTTTAATACATTCTGGGACGACCTAATTACTAGAAAATTAATTTACTCATTGACAACTTGAATATTCTCAAAAATTTCACGAATTCCGCCAGATAGGGAAAAACATGTAAGCGCCGTCGTGAACGCGTTAACACTAGAACTACCGAGCAATCAAATTAATATCTCCAAATTTTCTCTAAAAAAAACTCTAAGAATACAGCTACTGAGATTTCAGTTGACTTATAATTCAATCTGTGCATTGCTAAATCAATTTCTCCACTAATTTCGCAGAGAAGTATCCGTCGTCTTAAACAACCGTGAAAGACGAATTTAAGAATAGGTCTGGTTCTAGTGTCAACGAAAAAGGAACGAGCGCGAAAGGCTCTTTGAGTCCTCGACTACTTTCTAAACGTTTCCTCGCGCACCGGAAGACAGACACGTTTCCGGAATAGCAAGCAGAACTCGTCTAATCCGTGTCGGCCGGCGGCTCGACATTTTTTCCCTGTTAGACACTCCCACGTTTGTTCGTGACAACGTCAACGTTGAACTTTTCAAGAAAACGTCGGAGGAACAGTCATTGTTTGGAAAAAAAGATCGAATACACCCATCAAATCGAATGACTGGCCATGTGTTCCTTATTGATCAGATAAAGATTGCACTTTAAATGGATCGTTTATCGTCGTGTGCGAGACGCCTCGCAGATGGCGAGCAAACAGCGTCGTTCGCTTGCGAGACATCTCGTCGACAAGGGTCAATCGATGTCAGAGGATCCATAGATCCTCCTGCGGTGGAAGCAGTGGCTTAACACGTTCACTGCCACGAAAATCTTGAGCGTTTCACGTAACGCTTATCCCTTCGTATCGAAGATAAATAAGGGTAATCAATCGTTCGGTATCGTAATCCTTGCGTCACGCTATCATCGAATTACTTATATTATTAACGCGTTGAACACGGTCTTGCTTTGCTTTCCGTTCGGGCACAACAAAATTGCGGTAACAGAGATCTTGTAACGTACGATTTGTAGTTATTTATAACGATTTATATTTACAATCATTCCCGATTCATATTTAATATTCATACCAATTTCGTTTATAATTACTTCTGACTTATTTATAGTTATAATCTAATTTATTGAAATATAATATAATTCATAATAACTTGTATTTATAATTATCTATAATTTATAACGATTCATACTGTTTATTATTATTCGCAACGATTTACTGTCGCCCGAACGGAAAGTCCGCAGCCGCTTCCAACGCGGTTTTCATCCAACGTCGGTGATCCCGCGTGTTACGGTCGTTTCCAAGCAATTTCGAATGGTCGGCGACCGCCATGACAGTCAACGTGTTAACGGAGTCGAGCTCGACGACGATCATTAAGCTCGCCTGTAACCGGACGCCCGTGGAAACGCGGCGAAGCGTGTTAGACGTCCGCGGGGGGACCGGGCAAAAGCTATCAGACAATTAATCGTTAATTACTGACCGTCCTGAATCTGCAAACCGAGACTCTGCGGGGACCCGTCGCCGTCCATGACGGAAACCAAAGACGCGCCGCAGCATCGTGGCATTGTCTCATCGAAACGCTCGGGGCCGGACACTTTTAATCATCCTCCTGCGTGGAACAACCGAAAACGTGAGAAGAACGCGTCCGGTCGGGTCAACGCGTTGCGATCCGCGCCCACGTCCATTGTTAACACTGACCGTACCAATTTTAACACGCTGAATGCCATGGGGGCCACCGGTGACCCCCAAGCGAATCGAACTACTAGAATTCACTCAATTAAACGACGATTATTCGCGAACATTTCTATATTGTAAATAATGCTGCGGTGACATTCGGTTTGACGAACGTGCAATGGTAATAATCTAATTCTATCAAACGATTTAATATTGTATTTTCTCCATTTTGTGTACTTTATGAAATCGTGCGGCGTTCAACGTGTTAACACTTAGCCAACCGAATGAGAAGACCCACTTTTCACTTAACGTGTTGCCCTTTCTGTTTATCTTTTCTTTCGTTATTCAGTAAGTCCTGATTCTTGTTTTTACAGAAGTTCCTAACCGAATTGATTGGATGAGTTCAATGATAATGAAATATAAATTAGATGTTACTTTTCTATTATCAATCGTTCGTCTTTGGAGTAGACAAACATAGAATCAAAATTCTTTGTAGCCCTAGTAGATTATTAACCCTTTGCACTCGAAAGTTTTTCAGAAATATGCAACATTTTCTGATGGCATACGGATGATGTTCTTTGAAACTGATTAATGAGAAAACATACATGAATTAAGGATACTTATCTTATTTCAGTATTACACGTATTGATGCATTATACAAAGCTTGATATTATATGCGAGACTTTATAATTTTGCTGCATCAAATCAAGTGGTGAGAGTCACCTCTCGAGTGCAAAGGGTTAATGATAAAGTGGATGTATCGATCGTACTTCAGAAATAAATCATAGAGCAACTAATCATTTTAATTAACCCCTTGGCGTACTATTTACTTTCGTTACTAAGCTCGTGTAATATTTTACTATCGACAATTTGTAAGAAATACAACAAAATTTTCCATTCAGGTGGAAATTTCATTTGAAGATAATACACTGATAATAGCAATATACTTGTTTGCTTTGATCCGTGGGTAATGAACAACATTGATTCTTGTTAAATTAGAAATTTTCATCACGAGTCTCGCTCGTCATTGTACGGCAAGGGGTTAACTAATAATTCAACTAGTAACTAACCAGTAATTTATTGAACAAACGAGAAACACTAGACACATGCTATGTCTGTTTGCTCTAGAATATAACGATTGATAACAGAATAATATTTAATTTGAATTCAAAAGTATGTAGTAATATTTGTACTCAAATTCTGTTTCAAATGTTCCAATTTCTGCATTATAGTCAGGCATGGCTTAATAAGAATAAAGATCTTTAACAGAGGAAACGAATTTCCCTTCGGTATTGGGAAATCCATTTCACAATTCTGTTCCACGAAATCTTGCTAGAAATATCCGACGAAACGAACACGATCGCGAACGTTTCGAGCGATCCCTTCTAGTCGGAAACCACCCTTCCAACGTTTTATTATCCCGCACAATACCCCGAGGAAAAAGCATTAAAGAAGAGTGAACCTCGAGCGTCCATAAAATGAGGGTCAAATTACGAGGGAGAATTGTGTTACGGAATGTTATAAAGTTTCGTCGTTAAGTGAATCGAGTTAGCCGGGGGATGGAAAAATCCCGATCGAGGGGGGTGGTGCGCGAAACCACGAAAGCTGTGCTCGTTATAATAAACACCGTGCCGCACTAATTACCCCCGAAATTGCGTTTTCCCGTCAGCGATTGGACCGGTGCAAAATGGAAGCGTAAACAACGACGCGAAATATCGTGACTCACCCTTCGCGAGGTGTCCGCAAGTGACCGAACGAGAAACTGAACATCTCGGATTGAATTTTGGTTAGAGAAACATGTGTGCTTGTGACTGGTGGACGCACAATAAAATGGAAAACTACAAAAATTCGTGACGAGCGCTGTGACACATGAAATTAGAAGCATCGAATGTTTCTGTACGAACCAAGGCAAAACTGAAGTTTATTCCTCTTATGCCATGGTGTTCGAGTATACACGCGTTTATAGAATTCGATAACTATTGTTTACATGGTAGCACTTATATTAAAAGAATTTTCCATCGACGTCAGTTAGATCTAATTCTAAAACACTTCAGCCCTCAGACAAACCAGAAAACCTTTGGAACAAACAATACCAATTAATTTATAATTGAATTCATTCTACGAAGAAAGAGAGTAAGGGAATCGCTGAATCATTGCTCCTTGTCTAAACCATTAACACGTTGAATGCCGCAGGATTTCAGCAAAATACACAAAACGAAAACAATATCGAATTATTTCATTGAATCGTTATTATTGCATCTTACTGAATGTCACATAGATGGCATTATTTGTAACAAAAATATTTGCAACGATCGTTGAACTGAATTATAATTTAATTCAGTCAATAGTTCCAACATTCAGCGTGTTAAGGTAACCAAGAAAATTCACGAAAAGAGTGACGAAGGGGTGGTGTCCAAATAAAACGGCGGGAACGCGAGTGTTCCGCGACGTACCTGCACGAAATCGCGAAACGCTCATTAACGCGTGTCTCAACCCTTAAGAGTGCTCGAGCGGAGCAGTGGTAACGGTCGGCCGACAGAATCCTCGAAACTCGAAGCAAAACAACACGAGACACGAGGAGAGGAGTGACAACGAAACAAAAGGACCTGCTAATTCGGAATCGAGTCGATCACTGTCCTCTTCGGGGTTGCCTCCGGCGACGATCCCGACGGAATCATCGTTCCCGAGTCAAGTGTCTGTCCTGGGCGAGCGATTCGGGGTGCGAAACTCGAAGGGAGGATTGTTTCGCAGGCGAGAAACGTGATCGCGAGAGGAGCCGCGAGACGAAACGTTGATCTCGCGACGGCGGATTGGAAGATACTGCACCGAAACACGCGGACCGATATAGCCCTCGGACAGGTAGATCAATATAGTAGCTACGGCGTGCCCAACACGCAGGATCTCGCCAGCCGCGTGGCTCGCTGGCAAAATACTCGGCACTCATGTTCCCCTGTTGCCTGGAAGACGCGCAGAGAACTCCTAACCGACATCGTTCTTGGTCTCCAAGTCACTTCCAGAGAATGAGTCATTAGTGGCTTACAGGTTGAGAGGAATAGGAATTTATTCCCAGCGTTTCGCCATTTGACATACTGATACTGGTGTAGGAAGACTATATACTCTGTAGAAAGTTAATTCTTTCTTAAAATTAAGAACTCAAATATCTGACTACAATCAGACACAAGATATCAATTAAATCCCATTTGGCAGGCACTCCTCTTTTTTCTTAAAATTAAGGAAGACTCAAATATCTGACTACAAACAGACACAAGATATCAATTAAATCCCATTTGGCAGGCACTCCTGTTCTTTCTTAAAATTAAGGAAGACTCGAATATTTGACTACAGACACAAGATATCAATTAAATCCCAATTGGCAGGCACTCCTGCTGTTTCTTACTTGTTCAGCCAATTAAAAACTGGTGGCTACTGATCCGGAATATTAATCGTGGAATTCAAGATCCGTTAATCCTGGAATGGTTCTTAGAATCATGTAATCTTTCCCTGGTTTGTAACCCGCGACGCTGTTAACGGTTCTTGTTGAAGATTCGCTCGAGGAAATGATCAATTTGCGAGCGGTAACCGAACAAGATTCGATTCTTGAATCGGATGCTGCTTCACCGAGACTACTTGGGGAACGATACCCCTGCGACGAGCTGATCTCGAGTTTCATCGATTCTCGATAAGAATTTGTTCATTTTCGCCGATGTTTACCGATGATACAGAAGATCAACGCTTTCCGCGGGTGGAGATATAGAAAAGGAACTCGAGTCCGGCGTGATGGCCGAGAAACGCGGAGGATTCGTGGAACAACAAACACTTTGAGAGGCTCTCCGATGGATCGACGAGAGCAGAATGGCTGGAGAAGCCTTTGAGCAAGCGTCGCGGTGCCGCGGATGTGTTTATCATTCGCGCTCCAGGAAACGCGATCGATTTATTTATGCGTGAAAGCACTTTGATGCTATTGGAACGCTGCGATAGCGTTGAAGAGGATAGAGTCTAATAGAGAAGAGGTTCGGAAATGCAGGGCCGCGTCGCTTCTTCGAAGATTCGCTTGTTCTGAACAATTCTCGCGTCGTGCATCTACTTGTAAAAATATATTAATTTAACAATAGATTAACTTTTCAATTTTTCGCTACCAGCGTCACAAATATGTGACGATTTGTGATATTATTATTAGAAATTATAAGCTCCTTGGAAGATTCGCTTGTTCTGAAAAATTCTCGCGTCGTGCATCTACTTGTAACAATATATTAATTTAACAATAGATTAACTTCTCAATTTTTCGCTACTAGCGTCACATATTTGTGACGATTGTGTGATATTGTTATTAGAAATTACTACGTTACATTTAGGAACATGACTCGTTTCAGTTTCATTGTTCTAATATTTTCTTTAGATTCATTGGATTGAAGAAACTATTATTGAGGAGACCGTCACCGAAATAAAAGCTGGTAGCGAACGTGTTAAAGCTTAGTGTTCTCTAATGCATAATGCAGCCCTGCGAGGATCGATGAATCACTTTTGAACTTTGACCCAACCGACTCCCAATACAGTCAAGAAGAATTAAGTAAAGCGAACCTTTGATCTTAACACTAGGTTTATGGACATCCATCGTAACTTTATTCTATTGACCTTAGAAAGCTTGACGTTCATTCATTTAGATCTTGGAAATTGAACGCTTCAAAATAGACTATACACGTCCATGCAATTTCAACAATCAAAATCATAAACGTTTATCAAGCAACGTTTATACAGTTCAATAGTAACCCTTTGCGAACGAAGATTCTCTGAAATCTACGAAACCTTCAGCTAAATTATAAATAGATCGTTTCAGTAATCAAAAACAAGAAACTACATACCTCTGACTGAGTAATCAAATCATTCGTCCGCAAAGGGTTCCGACACGTTTCACAAACCCAGTGTCCACCAAATTACAATAAATTCTACACCTGCTACCTAACCATTCAGGAACCCGATCAAGCACCGATTCTCACTATCGGGACAGGACAGGGGACAGAAATGGTGACACCGATCGGCCCTGCCCTACCCTATCCTGACCCAATAATGCAAATCGGGAAGTACATCCGATTCCAGGCAGCGGAACGCTGTCTCCGTCGATCCCGCGTCGAATAAGACCGATTCTCACTATCGGGACAGGACAGGGGACAAAATACGCTCGCCGATCGGCCCTGCCCTGCCCTATCCTGACCCAATAATGCGAACCGGGCATGACGATGAGATCCATTCCATCGGGTACAGTCTCAGGGAACAGCCGGAGCGATGACAATGCAGCGAGCGAGCTTCGGTTAGTCGGACAACGAGGATTCTGGTGTTAACGTTCGACTTCAACATTTCAGGCTGTGCCCTGTATCTGGTGTACAATACACAACAACGTATCACGGACAGGAAACAATCGTGCGGACGCATACAGAGAGACAATTGCAAGCTACACCGAGAGGCATTCCGAGGGAATCGCGTCTGCTCACCGGTGGCGGACCCTGAAGACGACCTCGGCTGGCCCGCGACCTTGCCGGATTCCTGCAGCTGCTTCACCCGAGCAACCGCGGCGGTCGGCGGCGGCGACTTCACGCCCACCTTCCTCATCTTCTCTCGAATGTCGTTCGCGTCGTCCTTGGTACCCGGCGACCCGGCCTTCCCCGCGTCCGGACCTTTCTTCATCTTGCTCCGGTGACCTCGGCTCCAACGATTTCCACTGGCGGCGAGCGATTCAAAGCGCGACACTCAGCGCACCATAGTGCCGGCTGCTGCTCGAATCTGAGGACACAACGGGGAAACTTTTGTATTCGGCTGCCTCGCGCTTCTGAACCTCTGAACAGTCTGAATAGGCTGGGTCAAGGTTTCAATTATCGAAGCCGCTTCCGGTAGACGGTAGAAGTATAACAGCCGGTCGATCGGCAGACGCGTGAAAATGTTTCTTACATTTCTGCCGCGCGACGCGGAAGGACCTGTGACTGAGAAACGTCTCCGTGAATTGTGATGATAGTGGGTAATGATTGTTGGGATTAACGCTGAAACTACCGAACACTTTAATTGACTTTTGAAAATTTCGAAATAGAAACTACAAAAGTGCGTCAGTTCGGACTTTAATTGATTTAGAATTCAATTTGCGTAGTGCTGAATGAATTTCTTTAGTAATTTCTCATAGAAACATTTGTTACCTTTATAATAAGTGCAAAAAGACATCAGGCATGGTAGTTTTAGTGTTAACACTGGGCGACCGCCTAGAAGAAACTGTAACTATGTTTTCATTGACTTTGAACTCGGCAGATTTGATTAAATATTGTTTTTACAAGATGAAGGAAGGTGTTTATCGATCTGTGGTTATATCTCCGGTTCGAGACTTACTAAATAACAAAAGAAAATAAAATAAATGGCAATGCGTTGGTAATGGAACAATTGGAAGGACACTAGAGTATCAGATGGGTCAAAATGATATTTCTGATTTCTTTTACCATTACTGAGAAGGTAAGGATACTTTTGCCTTTTCTGATAATTGAAGCATTAACGCTAGATTTACGGAACGAGTCAATTTGATTCATTGGATTTTATAAGCATTATTTGGTGAATGTTCGAGTCGATTTTTACTAACGCAGTTATGCAAATGTGTATCCTAATAGTCTATCTTTTTAGATAATTATCTAACAATTTTTCTAAAAACAATTGAACAAACTGTACAAATGTCAGTAAATCTAATGTTTATAAACACACACTTATGGTTTTTGTACAGAAATTTGTAATAGTTTAAATGATCGGTAATTTTAGTGTTAAAAATGATTGTTTTTATTGAATGGTTGTTTGTTTTATTAAAGGAATTGTTTACGTGTTTTCGTCGGTGAAACATGAATATGTTGATCTGTGTTATCGAAGTGTATTATGAATATTACATGTACGACTGTAAAATAATAATCGCAACGTTTAGAAAGTGAAACGTACGGCGTTGCTTTCACTTGAATTTCTCGAATAATTAAAAGTAACTGTCCGAGAAGTATTCATACATGTATTTATTTACAATTTAAATTGAATAATTTTAGAAGTAAACATTTCTATGTGCGCTGCTCCATATTCATTTATTCTAAATGGGTGCCATCTCTGTAACGAGTTTTTCGCGGTATTTCGAGCAGATCATAAATTTAAATAAATATTCCCAGTACCAGCTCGGTAAACCGATATCTCGACTCTCCACGTAGAATTAGGTAAGTTCAACGAACGTGAGAATCATACGACAATGCAAAGTTAAATGATCGTCACGAGGAAATAAAAACACCGGAAGAAGAACCGGACAGCTAATTTATCAACTATGTAACAATCGTAATAGATACGACGATACGAATGTGTTATTAAATGGCTTTCAACATAGATAATTATTTATATTCCACGGAAACACAGGAAATTATCGCCGCGATAAATTTAGATATTATTTGTTTCAAGTACCTAACCAGTATTTGAGGTTATCATGAAACGCTGATAAAACAGAACAGTAGGAGCGCCGTTAAAAGATACAATAACATGCTAATGCCAGGCAAACAAATTAAGCCATTGTTACATTATCTCGTTTCATGCATAAATTCAACGACACATCATTACACATGCATTCATTAACACGGTTAAAAAGCGTATGCAAACCGCGGGAAATACAAATTTATTCGATCCGTGAACTTCCTTTCTCAAGGACGTCCAAAGGTTATCGCGCCGCGATCGAATCAATTTTCTTATCTATAAGAAAGCACCACGAAAAGCACCGTTGAATGTCGAAATCATTCGCGAACGAGTTACCGATGCAAGGTTATGATAGGTCTCATCTCGATCCCATTGTTACCAGAAACAATGTATCGTTTGTTTGCCATCTAGCGAGCATCGTACGATCGGATAACCGAGGGGAGCGGCGGGAGGCTCATGTGGAGGCACTAAGTGCTTGACAGTAATGCGAGTGTTACGTGATTCTCTCGTATGTGGCACTGTTAACGAGAACGACGGTAATAATGAAACGCGCGGCGCGAATTGGGAGAGCGCAACGAGGCGGAATCGGAACGGTTTCGCGGTGACACCCAGATCGTTTCGAGCTCGGCCGATTTAAATGAACTATGATCCGTCGACGCACGGGAATCCCGTTAACGCGACGGAATCGTGCAACGGTCCGGCTCGTGGCACGACGTCGGGGTGCCGTCGATAGACGAAGAAGCCGCTACGGCGGCGAGCTAACCTCAAAAAGGTGGTCGGAGAGCCTGAGTCTCATATCTCGGGTCGGAAAACGCAGGAGCCAGCCTCTCGCAGCACTATATATCGTCGCGTTGTTAACTCAGCACAAGAACCGGCCAATAATAAAATCGCCAAGGATAATGAACGTTCTTTGTCGAGTGATAAGGAAGCAAGTGGTTACAAAGTGACATTCACCCTCTCGGACACGCACACAGGCCCACGGACACGCGAGCGAGAGCATTGACGCCATTACTCTGTTTACTCCCTCCCCGAAACCGGGCGGCCGATCGTGGCGCCATCTCGGCAGCTTTCGAATTCAGTTACCGGACGAACATCAAGTTGACAACTTTCACTCGGCGTGGGGAAGTTAGTGAGGTTTCATCCACGGTTTTGCAAAGTTGAACGTCAAGGAAATGTGCTGTTGAAGTTTCCCGTCGGAAGGTTATTGACGCGGTGACTGCTACTAAAAATCAGGTAAGAGAGATTTTTTATATTACGTCGCCTCGTTGTTTACGAGACTGGTGTTTGTAAAAAATATTCTTCAACATTCTCATTGATCGGTAAGAATGCGATTTTGGTTTAAAGAAACAATGTTGCAGTGTGAAGCAGAAACTGCGCGTGTGCACTAAGTGCAAGATAAATTTTGAAAGTTTTCTCATTGATTTTAAAATATCTGACCCTTCCGCTTGGGAAGGTTAGGTAAACATCGCAGAATTCCAGTTACAGTGAAATGTACCTCGCACGGGAATACATTGTAGTTACTCGACTCGATACTGTTTGACGTTTCACGTTTAAAGCAGCATTCTTCTTTATCGCTTTTTTGTATCGAACATTGATATGCAACGTGCAGCATTTGCATGCAAATGTGTACAGTTGATTAATTTTTTGCCGTTATGAATTCAGGTTTTTCAATTATACGTGATAGCTTTTTTTATCGGACATGTAACATTATCGTTTAACCATTCGCCGTGAAGCGTTCAATCGATAATGAGGTATAAATCTTTTTTTTTCCAACTAACGTAAATACCAAGTGTACCGGTTGCGCTCGACACGGTGAGATAAAACTTTATACATTGAATAGATTGATCATTGAAGCTGTCAATCGCGCGACCATTTAAACGAGCAGTGTACAGAGACTCGCCGACATTGTACAAGGAAAATGACATTCAAGCGGTAGAAACGAAATTTATATCACGCTATAAAAAGGTTACTAAAAAAATAATATTCTTACTAATACCCGAATGAAGTTAATATTCCAAAAACGCGACGTACAAATTGAAATACGTTCCGCTCGTTATCAACGGAGTTTGAATCATCGGTGACTTCAACGAGTCATTAACCGTTACATGATGTAATAGGGTCGACACGACCCTATTCACCACTCCAATTATCACTATAACACTGCGCCCACGTTAATACCTCCCGGCGTAAAATGTATCCGCTAATTTCGATCCCATAATGTACACGTGAATACTGTCCGAAGATAAATAACCTTATTCGTGAATACCCGGAAGTCGGTAAATCAGAAATATAAAATTGTCCGCGTCACGTTCACACCACAGATCTAAATACAGCGGCGTAGCGTGTCGAACAATTAATCCACTGTGATCGACGAACGATACTGGGTGTCACTCGGCGGTAAATCCCTCTCGGTGAATCGGCATTGTTCTTGTCGCTACCTGGCAGCCATCTTACTGGCTATCCCCAACCCGCCAAATACTTATCTGCCCGGCGCATAAAAGGTCGTAAGTCCCAGGCGGCCGAGCAACTGTAGCGATTGCGCGAACCCCGTGGTAGTGTCGATGCCGGCGAAGGTGTAAACGGAGCTCGCGAGTGATACCAGTCGACAACGGCGTTACGTCGTTAGTGGTTCGAGGCCTGAAATCGGCGAAGTGGCGAACAACACCGACTCGACTCCAGGCCCTCAGCGAGTCGAGCTCGACGAATTTCTGTAAGTGGAATTACACGGAAATCGGCGATTATATCTATCCTTGAAAATGTTTTTAACGTTTGCTCGAACGTTTCCGATCATTTTGCACGCTATGTAATAATTATAGTTCGGTTGACCACGTCATAACTCGATCGCAGGAAAAAAGTGAAACAAGAAGATTGTAAATAGTTCGTGGAACATGAATTTCACGATTTGACAGAATAGCTCTTGCAGCCGTTATCTGTGATAGATCGATTTATCGGCGTAGCGCGTTTCGATGCGTATTCGATAATTTACCTTTCCCGTTTATCGAGCGAACCCATCATCAGCGTTTTTCGTGTTTACGCAGATTGCTTCGCGGTAAGCCTTCCGATGGAAAACGCCCGACTGAAACAATACGAACCGTCTGAAATGCGTCGTGAGTAACTTCCGGTTGAACAAATACTGTCAAACTCGCATGGTGCCGTTACGGGGCAGCCTTGATCCGTAATTTAGCCGATTACTCGGTAGTTCGGCGATGGAAAATTCACGGAAATGTTGCACCATAATCGTTGCGATCAGTTTGAAAGAGAACTATTTTTTTCCCGCCATCGAAACGCGAAGTCTCGGGTCACTCGTTGATCAAGATTAGCAATTAACACTGGAACTACGAAATGGGTCGTTTTGTCAGTTCTTTCGCAATTGTGGAAATGGCACGATTTCCTGAGAAATTATTCGATAAATTGATTTAGATGAATAGAAACTGGAATATAAAAAGATTGTACGGTCGGTAAATATATTTTTTACATTTTATAAGGTAATGCAGAATAATCAATTTTACTGCTCGGTAGTTCTAGTGTTAATCACTAGACAGGGCAATGCATGGATAATATAGATATCCGCGGGCAAAAAGGGTCCAGATGGTCTAGACCAGTGTTTCCCAACCTTTTTTGTGCCGTGCCCCACCTAAGTCTTTCTAAAATTCTTGTGCCTTCCTAGGTAACATATAATTTTTAATATTACATTATAATATTTTTGCTATTTTGTTTACATGCGAAAATACTGTGAAACATATGAAGTGATATTTCAAATTTCAAATTGTCACCCTATGTAACATATATATAGTTTTTAATATTATATTATAATATGCTATTTTGTTTACCTGCGAAAATATTGTAATATATGAATATTTTAGATTTCAAATTGTCCCCCTTAAAAATCAAATTGCCCCCTACGTAACATACATGCAATTTTTAATATTATAATATTTTTGCTATTTCGTTTACCTGCGTAATATTTCAAATTTTAAATTGCCCCCCTATGGGACGACGGTCACGTTGAGAAACACTGGTCTAGACCAAGGGTGTCTATGTAACTGGGTGCCACGGGGCACCATAGTGACATTCCCCTCATAAAAATTACCCTCTCCACACCTACTTTTACCTGTTGTATTGAATACTACACGGAACCGCTCACACAACAACCTCGGGCAGTTCCTCGGGTGGAACTAGTGGGGGAACGGTTGTTTCCGAGTTACTAGCATGAGGGGAATAAGTTCCGACACCTCTGGTCTAGATAACCGGTAAAAAATGTTCCGGCGTGTCGCGAACGACCGTCGATTTTTATTGGCGAATTGAATGAATTAGTTACGGTAGCAATTATAATTGATCAAGGTATGTATTAAATTACGAGCTATTATGAGCAATGTGCCAGCGTGATACGGTGACCTCTTTCAACGGCCATTAAACGACATAATGACAAAAACGTTTATATACAGTAAGTGACAAAAGTATTCCTGCCGTTACTACGAGGAAACGAACGAATTTTTCCTTTTGGCTGTTTGCGTAATTCCTGGGTTAAGTTGATACCAATGTCCAGACAAAGAACGAGTATGATTATTGGAATGATGAGATTATTGTCCTCCCATAGGTTGTCATCTCAGTATAAAGTCTATTTTAGTTTTTTTTCTTTCTTGTTTCCTTGTATACTTCTCGCTTATATTGTTGACGTTGTGAACAATGAAATTAGAATCGGTATTTTAAGGAATGAGAATTCTTTTCATATTTTTGTTTGTGGCGACGCAGTAGCCCGCCAATTAAATATCCGGTCGGTAAGAAGAACATTGCATTGATATATCCTTATAGTTTCGTGGAATTACATTTAGTATTTTAATTTGAAGGTAAACATGATATGTCGCCACATCGTTTCAACGAATTTCACTGAAAATGAAAAAATCGAAGAGATTCGACTTGAAGTTGAGAATCCAGTTGTTTGAAGGTTACATCATAATGTATCATCAAAGACATTTTAATATTTATCACAGTATTCGAGGCAGGAAGTACGTAGATTATAATGTATAAGAAAGACTGGCGGTCCTTGTGGATGGAAAAATACTTTATGTAATAGATGCAGTATCATTTTATGTAAACAAGAGTATTCGATGGATGCGGGTTTTTGTATCGTTCGTAACGCGTACCATTCTGATGTTTATATTATTCTCTGAACGTTACTATGTTTCACATGCGTTTACACACTTAAATATGTCGACGTGAATGTGACTGTTCGAATAGCGTAATTCTCGAAAATAAACGTTACCAACTTACGCAAGCGCGTAGGAATCGGGACTACAACAACTCTTTTGTCGTTTAAACGTGAACAAAGATTAGATTGTTCTTCGGCACTACAAATTATGAGTTATCGATATTGGTACATTTATTATTATAATGGTAAAAAGAAGGATAATGAAAGAGAAATATTTTATAATTAAGGATGAATAAATGTTAATTTCAAAAATAAATTCTTATTAATTCGTAATGTTTACTTTTCAGATAAATGTCAACCAAAAATAAAAATCAGAACAAAATGCAATCCAAACGCCACATATTGAGTACAGTTCATCGATTACTTGAACTCATATTAAGGCAAATTTATTTGTTTTTCGCATTTCTGACGGGTCCTGCTCAACAACAACCACCTATCAAGGATTTGGTTCTGTTAAATAGTGCAACAGCTTTAGCTTGTAAAATTCGAAATAAGCAGGTGAATGAATATTTAAGTGTTTGTACTTTCTCTAAGAATGCTTCTAAAATAACACAAAGACGTATCACTTTACAGCTGACTTCAGAAAGTGTAATACAGTCGTATATAGATAGGATAAAAGAAATTCAACCAGTGTTAAATTGCGTAGTAGAGGATCGTTTTGAAAATGCACTGAAAGAAGCAAAAAAATGCGATGAACTCTTAGCATCTGAGAATGCTCCATCTCCACAAGTATTAGCAGAACAGAAGCCTTTCTTTGGAGTGCCTTTCACTACAAAGGTTAATTTTATTTAATGAAACGCGAATTGTCAATAGTAACACTGTGTTTATGTCAATAAAAATTATGCTATTATTTCTTATAGGACTGTATAGGAATTGCCAACATGAAACAAACAGCTGGTCTGGTTGCTCGCAAAAATGCTGTTGCTGAAAAAGATGCTGAAGTAATAAGACTGATGAGGGCTGCAGGGGCAATTCCCCTTGCTACAACAAATGTTTCAGAATTAGCAATGTGGTGGGAAACTAATAACTGTTTATATGGCATCACAAAAAATCCTTACAATACTAGATACATTGTTGGAGGATCATCAGGAGGTGAAGGCTGTATACAAGCAGCAGCTGGTTCACCATTGGGAATAGGATCAGATATTGGTGGTTCCATTCGCATGCCATGTTTTTTCAATGGAATCTTTGGACATAAACCTTCTAAAAATATTGTTTCAAATGATGGTCAGTATCCAAGTACTCACAGTGAAGACCAAGACAAGTTGCTTGCAATTGGCCCTATGTGTAGATATGCACAAGATCTGAAACCCATACTGAAAGTTCTTGCAAACGAGAATGCAAAATTATTACATTTGAATGAGAATGTAGATATTTCAAAACTTAAGGTACGAATAATATAATTAAAAAAAAGACAAATTTGGTAAAAGTTTTCTTTTCTTTTGCTTAGAGTGTCTTAATAGTTTTTTCTTCGCTAAATTTATTTAATACCGTTCCTAATAAAGAGTAGTTAAAAATTGAATGAAATACGTGATGTATGTATATTTTAATCTAGTTCTATTATATGGAAGATGACGGCGGTCAATACTTAACGTCTCCAGTAGATCTGGAAATAAAGAAAGCCATAAGGGAGGTAATCCGTTACCTTGAAATAGCGCATAAAATTAAAGCGACCAAACTCAATATTAAGAAACTTAAAAAGAGCATCAATCTGTGGACGGCAAACATGTCTTGCAAGGATGAAAGGGACTTCGCGTATGAATTGACTAACCGAACTGGTCGCATTAATATTTGCTGGGAATTTTTAAAATGGATAACGTTCACAAGCAATCACACGTTAATAGCTCTGTTCACTGCCATGTTTGAAAGGTTCATGGTGAAATACGGAACCGAGAAACATACGAAATTGATCGAAGAAAGTAAGGATCTTTCTAAGGAATTTCAGGTATGACACACAATCCTGTATTTAGAGTAATCTACAGTGTATGTCAATGAATTCTTACCATTCTGTAAATACCTCGAATTCATAAGTACTCGTAATGTAATCAGGGTTGGAATTGGCTCCTTTCTTCTTCGCCTTGCTTTCCAAAAAATCGCGCAAGATACCAAGAGTAATGATTTATTCGTACATAATCGAATTGCGGAATCTTAAACCCTTTATTAATGGAAGTGATTTCTTTCTCTGGTCAGACTACTACTAGTCCTTCTACGGTATAACGTGTTTTCCTAGTTAGTAGCAGAGAATTTTTATCTTGCATGCAGAATGCGATTTTTCCATCGACTATAGTGAAAATACATTCTTTTTGTGAAACCAGTTTGTGTTGATTTAAAGCAAATTTATTGAATCCGTTAGGAAGCATGTATCAAAAACATTCAGATTTTTTTGTTTCCTGGTAATATTACATGTATAATAATTTTTCTTTCTCTTTTCTCTTTTTTAATTGTAGGACATCTTGGGAGAAGACGGTGTATTTTTCTACCCAACGCATCCAACGGCAGCACCGATGCATTTCGAGCCGCTTATCAAGCCGTTCAATTTTTCATATACTGCAATTTTTAACGTGCTAGGTTTACCTGTCACTAACTGCCCTTTAGGATTAAATTCTCAAGGCCTTCCTATTGGTATTCAGGTATTTCCGCTAGTATACGTTTGATAATATATATATAGACGTCCCTGTCACAGTGAATATCCAAATGTTCAATTTCTAATGAAATTTAATCTTATTCGCAACAGATCATTGGTGGTTTAAATCAAGACCATCTAACGATAGCTGTGGCTGAAGTATTGGAACGACGTTTTGGAGGATGGGTATCTCCTGCAATACTAGCTTGAATTTTATGTCTTACAGACAATGATACTGTTGGAAAACTATTACGACACCCAATTATCGTTATTTTCCTGTACAAGACAATTTACATCTGATAATTTCGTGTCGGAAAAAAATCAGTAAGGTACAGTACAAACTTCGGTATTGAAAAAATAGGTATCTGCGCCTCAATGATTTCTGTTGAATATATTTGTGAATATACAGAGAGAGGGAAAAAAAAGTACATCAAGAATGTGGATGTAAAAAGCACAGTAATGTTTTGGAGCCAGTATATATTTGAACGTAGACATTGATATAAAAAGTTATAGTACATTTATTTTCACATTCTGACTGTACCAACACTGTCGTCCCTCGCTTTAAATAATATAAGAAGTATTTGTATTACGATTGGTTGTATAATCGACCATAAATTGCATTTTGTCAAGCACGATACCGTAGTCGTATCAAATTATAATTCGAAGTAAGATTTCGAACAAGAAATCGGATATAGTTTTAATAATTTCGTATACATATTATATTTATACTTATATTTATATTTATATTTATAAATTAAAGTCGAATGATTTTTTTTCTGGAACTAAAATCAGTATCCACGAGATGTAATAACATTTGCATAAAAGCAAATTGTTGCATTACATTTAATTCTCGTTTTTTATATACCTCATCATAGATCTCTATTAGAGTTTTCTATTTTCATACAAATCGAAAGAAAGGAGTAAAGTGTATGGGTGGTGTATGTACGTATGAAAGAA